CTTGACTAAACATGTAGCAACCCTTTTTGACCCTTCCAAAATACATGATCGCATGTCTGTTGATGAGAAATTTGTTCTGTGTTCTTAGTGGTTAAATTTGAACTAGTGCTACTACCCATAAGTGTGCTCTCCTCTGCTACACCCACTAGCAGAGTCAGTTGACTTCACAGTTGTCTTGTGCTTTTTTTTTTTTTTTTTACTCCCATTTGGTACCATGAAATTTCCCCCATGTCCATCTCTTCCTTACAGTAACTGCCATGTTACTTCCTTACGGTAACTTGACATGCTTCCTCTCTATTGTTTAATTGCAGAGTTTAATGAAAAAAGCAGTAAGAACATTACCTATTTTTTTTCATGCAAATAATCTAAAATCTTTGCAGTATTTAAATAAGATTGCTCAAAAATACGAACGGTGTTTGCAATAAATAGTAGATTTATTTTTTTGTAATGAAAGTGTAAATTACTGATGGAGTTAAACCTGACAGTTATTGGAGGTGAATATTTTAACTGCAAAGTCTACTGAAATGGCTGCACATGTGGAGAAATACACAAAGCATTAAGTGAAATGCTTATGTTGGCTTGATTTATTCTCTGCAGCAGATGAACTCTGGTAGTAGGAGGTGTAATTTGCAGCACATTAGCTATTAGCCAGTGTCATTGCTGGAGTGGGTGGTGTGAGTCTCTTGTGCCTGTACAGTGTCGTACTGCGCATGTGTCAGAGCTAGGCGCTGCTCCCCTCTGCTGTAAGATGAATTTTCTGTGAACAGTGTTCTGTATTTAAAACTGTGAATCTGCTAGTTTTCAAATGGGTTATTCTGTCACACGGATAATATCTAGAGTAAATGTTTGGGGTTTTGTTTTTTTCCCTTTCTCTGCCACCCCCTTCCCCAAATTCTACAATTCAGTTTTCACAAAACATTAAGAAGTGTTTGACTTTCCTACCTTTTTAGTACACTATCCCCTGAGGATGAAGTATGTAATTTGCAGGATACCCAGCCTGTAACTTCGAGCAAGGAAATTGTTAAAGTTTCTTTTTGGGGTACCCTGTGCATGTACTTGCGGAGTTTCAGCTTGATGCATCTTTTTTTGTGTGTGTGTGTGCACAATTTCACTTGGGCTGCGTTTAGTTCACTTTTTTCCCTAGAGGCACCTGTCTCCTGCCACATACCCATCAAGACTAATTGCACCATCTGGAAGACTTTTGTGTAGCTGTTACTTGTGCAGAATATCTCTTGGGAGCTTAATTCAGAATGTGAATGTGACCCCTGAAGCCATGTCAAGTAGCTGCAGTAGTTTCTAGCAACTAAAGGATGATCACCGTAGGGTTTATTTGTTTCAAGTCTGATGTGGTTTGCTTTAGTGTGGATATGTTACATGTCAGGAACACAACTTCAGTCATGTTTTGAATGGAATTAGACTTTGACTACTGGTTTGGTAATTCATAGAAAATCCTGTCTAAAATTACATCCAAACCATATGTAACACATAGGCTATATGATTAGGTGTAGAAATGACAGACCTGTTGCTCCTTATTATTACACTATTTGATTTTTATGTTCTGTTCTTTCCTCCCAGCCACAGCTGCACTTCTCATTAATCGTTTTCTGCTAAGAATGCAAGGCATTCATTGCTAGTGGTGTTGCAATCCCCCTGAACAGCACTGAACACTTGTTTTTGTTATTGCTATGAAACTGATAGCGTATTTTCAGCACAGGTAATTTTCTGTTTCTGTTCCTCACCTAGTGTGAATCAGGTAGAAGTACTGTAGTGCTTCACTTCCACTGGTGTCTGTCAAGGCAGTGGTTTATTTAAAGGCCAGTGCTTTATAATCCTGTGGTGAACACCTTTCTTCTCTGCTTCTGTAATATCTTGTCCCTTGGCAAGCTGTAGAGCACTGTAGGGCGTGAAAAGTGTTCTGATTGTTAAAAGTATCACCGTAATTTGCAATATTTTGATTAAAAAAAAAAGTGTTATTCTTTTCTCATGAGATCCTGCATTTAGTAAGGCACTCTGATTTTACTAGCATACGTATGTGGGGAAAAAACAATTTTTTCCTAAAACCACTTTTCTTTAAAAATTATGGAGTTGTAAATAGTGTTGAGGAAATATAGTTGTATTTAGTTGCATCATCTGCGTAACTTGTGTGGTTGTGAGTAATGTGGTCAACTGAAGTTCAAGCCAGAGAAGTACTTACACCACTACAAACAATTGAGTTCTGTGTATGGGATGTATACACACTCTGTATTATTCATTATATTTTTGGTTTGTTTGTTTGTTTGTTTGTTTTTCCTGGGTAGTTTAATGTTCATTGTGGCTATGACTTTGGAAATCTATGGAATTTCAAGTTTCAGTTTAAGATTTAACTCTCTTGGCTGCATTCTGTTAACTGTATTTTGCAACCTGGTAGGAAAAGGGTTTTCTTGTGTGTGTGTGTGTGTGTGTGTGCTTGGTGAGAATAAAAGTATGCAAGTTATACATTCACAGAATGCTGAAGGCAAGCAGCTGTCCCCTCCTCCTTAAAATCCCTCACTGCATGTACCTGGTAAACAAAATGAAGGTGCACATTGCAGGACCACAGCATGTGATCTTGGGAAGAGATCTGAGCTGTGCAAGCTTTCTTGGGTTTGAGTGGTTGGGAAGTACTGGGGGACTGATCTAAAAAAGAAATTATTTCTGCTCTGGGAAGTTACGTAGTATGTTCCTTTCACTGGTTTTTATGTTGTTTTAGTCAGGATTGTGGTGTTGGGGGTGTGTGTGTGGTGTTTTTTGTTTTTTTAAGGCTCTTTGAGGATGGAAGAAATGAGAGCTGGTGGCTCTGTGGCATGGTTTCTCCTTAAGTTATGTTTGAATCTCATGTGCTAAAGTCTGTGCTTGAATGTCTTCCACTAAAATATTGATTATCCATGTTCTCCTAATTTTCAGAAACATTTTAATTGGTTTATTTTAAGATAGCTAGTAAGGTAATGTGTTAATTGCTACTTGCGTTTTACTGCTCTGTTAAGAGAGACTAACATTTAGTTGCATTATTGCAGATAAAGATTGGTGGCTAGCGCTTGCTTTTGGCTAAATTTCAGCTTTGGCTCTAAATGTTGGGTATCCACTTGGTTCTTAAAAGCTCAGCTTAGTTGAACCAAGCTCTGTTACTGTCTGAGGCCATGCACACTTGTTCTTTCTTTTGGAAATTTAGCAGAACTTGACACCTTCTCTAACATCACAGCTCCCCACATCGCTGAGAGTGTGGGGTGTAGTGCCACTAGGCTTGGTACCCCCCACCCCTAAGTTGTCCTGGGTGGGCCAGCCCAGTAGCCTACAGGGGAAGCAAGTGGGATGTGGGCATACCAGAAAGGCACAGAACAAAAAGCCATGGCCTCATTTGGCTCATTAGATGCTGCCAGAGCTAAAAATGTTGTGGTTTGTGGTAGAAAGTCATAGCAGCCTCCTCTTATGTTAATCGTTAGTGGTGTTCGTAGGCTGTAGCTACACTAAAATGCTCAGGGCTTCTCTGGAGGGGGAAGTATTAGCCTGGAATCACTGCAGGTGAGAAGGTCAAGCCCAATAGTTGCCTCATACCAGCTACCAGGGCTGACCTTCTCGTTCTCCTCCTAGAGCTTTTTGAGACATGTAGTTTGGGCCATTTCCCCATTGCTGTAGGAAGGGTTCTAAAGATTCAAGAAGTCAAGTTGGTTTTGGTTTGGTGGTGTTTTTTTTTTTTTTTTTTTTTTTTTTTTTGCAATAGAACAAGATCTTTCACACAGAAAGGTCCTATTTAATTTTTTTTTTTAATGTTTATGTGTCTGTGTAAATGAAATAGTATACTGAAGATATTCTTGCATTGTGAAGTGGTGTAAATATAATGAAAAAAATCTAAATGAAACTTTAGGTTATGTCTACTGTTCTCTTATTCAAACACACTTCCTAGATCAAGATCTTAGATTTTCATTCAGATGTTTTAAAGACGGGTCTGTTCTGATTTCTTCCCGTTATTAGGGCTAAAATGATACTCTGGAATAAAATGAGTTGAAGTGCTTAGAAATCTATGATGTAGTTCTTCATATGATTTATTTAACAAATATTTAGATGAGGGGGATATGGGGTCTTTTATATATATATTTAGGAGTTATGGGGTCTTATTTATTAGAAATTAGTTCACAAATTTAGTAGCGTCTGGAATGTGTTATCCTTTCCTCTTGCTATTTAGCCTTATTGATGAACATAGGAAGTAGAAAGCAGCTTAACAAGGACAGAGAGAATACAATTGGAGACATTGCAGTCAAAAAGGAAAGCTAAGCTTGTTTTAAAACAAGTTAATTTCTGAGATGGTTTATCTAAGTGGTCATTTAGAATTGCTTTCAACAGAGGTGGGTTTTGGGGGGCAGTTTCCTTCTGGCCCCAAATTTAAAGGTGCAGCATTTGAAACAGTTACTTTGTTTAAAACAGCTTGTCTCTACTTCATTTATCTCTTATTTTATGTCTTTCATCAGTTTCTGCAGTCTATTTCTAATACACTTAGACATGTTTTACATATTGTGTGGCCTGTTCTCAACCACTCTGATCTAAACAGTTTTCCTTCAGCGGGTTATAGATTTTGGTTGTACCTTTCCTCCTTTCGCTTTCTTCTCTTGAAGTACGAGGCTTCTTTTGGCTTTTTTTAAACTTCAGACAACAAACGGAAAGCTCTTATGTTCCTTTTATAGTAGATCACATTGAATTATTCTGAAATACTCCTTTTATTGCATGACATGAAATGCAGCATATATGCAGGAAATAAACAAGATTTAATCCTGAATACTTGCTTACTACAATAGTAGTATTTAATTGTGTCAGGTAAAGGATGACAAAGGATCGTGATTAATAATTGCAGCTTGTTGCCATGCAAATGTGAATATTAAAGACTTGATGAAATGATGGCAGCCTGAGGTCCGAGTCTGTCTTTCCACTTTGGCATGACCAGTGAAAATGGATTGTGAAAACGTGCTTTTTTTTTTCTTTCCTTTTTGCAGGGGTTTTGTGTACGATAGCCGAAATAATTTACAGATGCGAGGTTTGGTCGTATTGCTTATTTCCAAAGCTGCTGGACCCAGCACGGCAGAACTCTCTTTCCAGCACAACATGGTCAGTGGAATTTATTCCAGGTATGTAGTAACTTTCTTCAGCAAGATACACCAAGGTACATTTGATGGGCAACTTCATGGTGGTATCAAAGCATCTTAAGCGGCCTGCTCAGCTGTTAAGGAAAATCAGTGCTTACCTAATCATAAAACTTTGTTCCTTCAGGTTTATTATAAGCTTTCCACAGTGAAAAACATTTCCTGTTCTTTGTATAGCTCTTATAATATCCATGCCTATATCTTGTGGCTTCTGGGCACAACCCAATTAAAAACATTCCGATCGAGATAGTTATTTGAAAGTTCATGTTAAGAGGCACTCGGAATCAAAAAAAGTAAAGATGCTAGAAAATATTTTTTCATAGAGCATTTTCATTTTGAGTTACTCGGATGTTACTTGGGTACACCTACTTACTAGAAATTTCAGAGTCACATTGCCAGTCTTGTGGAATACCAGTCGGTTTCACTGAGCACGTAAGTTTTGCTATAGCCCCTTTGAAGAATATTTTCCCATGAAACAGCAGTGTAGAATAAAGTTTTTACCTCCCTTGTGTCACAGCAGAATTGCTACCATTAAGATTCCTCAGGCTCTCACTGAGATAATCCAGCTTCATCGAGTTTCTAAATATTTTTTTAAGTATTTAAGCTAAATTGCTTAGTACTAGTAACAACAGCAATAAAAAATAGTGGTTGCTCTCCTTTGTATATTGGACAGTTAACTGTTCCACGGAAGTAATAAGTGAGATTTGGTTGAAAGATGGTAAAATTTGAATTTTTTAAATCCTTTTGAAAAATTGAGTGTTGTTTAGTTGACCGAACAGACTGCCATATTTTCAGTTAATTGTGTTTCTGACCACTGTGATGTATTAAATGAAGATGCACAAACTTTGTGACATTTTTGTTATTCTGATGTTTTAGAAGTGCAGAAGATAGCATTGTAAAATTGAAAAGACCAAACAAGTAAAGATGTCAAAATATATGATATATTTTAAAACGTCAGAGAAGGAAAATCTGTATGAATGGGTACAGGCAGAAACAACAAGAAGTAAGAAAAAAGACGAGGCTGTAAAAGAGGCTTGTTATGGAGGGCTGTGTTGTCCCTTTAGCTGTTTAATTCCATTCTTGTTTTGTTTCGTCCTTAATGTCCCCTTAGGGTTGTAAAAATTTTTATATTTATATGCAAATGATGCTGTATGAAAGCATAATTTTGGTTAGTTAATTATGGCACAGGAGGTATTTTAGTTTGTTTTGTAAATGATTAAAAAAGTTTACCTTAAGTATGCCTCATGAAAAGAGAGAAAAAGCATTATTTTCTGGTAACTACGTTCTTGAGTATGATGATTCTGACCCTGGAGGTAAGGTTTGAGCGTTTAAAGCTGCCGTTGGGAAGGTGACTAGTGGAAGTATTCATTAAGGAGCAAATAAGACCTTGAATTAATAATGAGCCAGTTGGTGTAAATGGACATCATTGGAACTGTGCCAGTTCAACCAGCTGAAAATCTAGCCTAATAATCTAAGTTTGAGCAAGTCAATAGCCATTATAATATCTAGTTCAGAGTTACAGAGGTGCTCAAAAAATAAAGCAGTTTTGAATACACCCACACAGGTTCACTTAAGGTTGATTACTGTCTGCAGAAGTGATAACTATGGAGTTGTTAATTTAAATGGATTTTCAATGACACTTTAAGTCTGTAGCATGGTGTAAATACGAGCAAACTGATGCACGCGAGGAGAATGGCGATGTGTTTCATTTTGTGCCATAGTGGCCAGTTCTTGCTCTCGACTGAAATCACTGTGGGCTTTGCCTTTGACTTTGGACTCTTTTCTTTATTTAAGGTACTCTTCCAAATATACTCTTAAATGTGAGTCTAATTTCTGATTTTGATTTCTCCATTGTATAAAGCTAAGAGAACAGGCAGCTTGTAAAATTGTGAACTTAAAGGGCTTTTGTGATTGTTTTATGTATTAAAAGTAGTGTTTTACAAACTGCTTTCTACTGAATAAGAACAAAAGGACATCGTTTTCCATTAGTACGTTTTTGTCTGCTGTCTTGGTTACAGTGTAATTATATATGGTGTGTATATAAGACATACATATCAAAGGCAAAGTATATCCCTCAGTGATATGAAGTGAAGAAATATGCTTAATCCTTTATTGTTCTTATATGTCTCCAGCTTTGGAAAGTATTTTTTGGAAATAGATTCTTACAGACTTTCAGCGCAGCTGTAAACTGTACAGCTCTTTTTGTTGCCATGCCATATAATTACTTCATCTTTATATATAATATTTTGCTGGAAATATTATTTCTGGCACTGTAATGAGCATCTTCATTGCCCAATACGTGCTGTGAACGTTATATTGTGGACTATTAGCTGGGATATGGCTCACTTGATTTTAGGGTACTTAGTAGTGATTAATTAATTGCATTCCTGAAATTTGAGCATGAGCTAAGTTGTTCCAGTACTTGTCAGCGATTGCACCAGCCCAGTCTTTCTTCTCCCACTGTTTGTGTTGGAACCAGCTCTTGTGCTCTCTTCAAATATTGAGTCCCACAGTGGATAGCTAGGTTACATCAGTCTGCTATAGTTGGTACTACACTAAACGTACAATCTGCGACCAAGAAGATGTAACAGTGTGATAATTATTTAACTTAGAAAACCACAAAAAAAAATCATGGTGGACTTTTTCATCCGGGAACCTGGCTTGTTCTGCATAACCTCTTCTCCCTGTTTCATGTTCTTGAATCACAATATAAGCAAGGAATACAATAACTATAATTAAAACAGAAAGACACTGAAAGCTGAATTTGGAATAGCTAAAAACTTTTTTATCCTATTCTCCTGATCCCTACATATGTCAATTCATGAGACAATTGACCTAAATAGATTAGCTAGCTGCTTAGCTGGCATCTGTTTTTTACTGGTACACAATGGAACAAAACTGATGCCTGTTACCAGAGAGCGATCTTTTCCAGAATAATGAGGATTACAATTTAGGTAGTTACAGGAACAAGGCTAGTGTAGTTATATGGTGCTGCCTCTGGCCAGCATTGCCTCCAGCTTTAGCACTTCATAATTTGCAGGAGACGTGATCTGCCCGCATTAAGCAGGGGCTGTGGAGGTCATCGTATGCAAGGATGTCATAGTAACGCTGGTTGCCTTATGAGCCATGCTGAAGATAAGGGAGGAAGTGTTATAGAAGTCTGCTTGGCATGCTTTACTCTGTACAGCCGGCTCCCTATCGTGTTGCCAGCAACCTGACTTTATTCCTATTGGTGGGGAAGAGAACCTGGCATCCAGCTCAGCACCGGTGATCCCAAAAGAGGATGAAGGGGAGAAGTAGCAGCATGATAAACAGCTCTATTTCAGCTGCTGGACAGCTTTCCTAAAGTTGAAACTCTCTGTCATTCTCTTAGCCTTTAGGAAAATATTTCCTTGGCTACAGAAGCATTGCAAATGTAATGATGAAGTGCAGTCCTCATTACAGAGTATGCAAGCAGTATCGTGTAAGGGTTGATGTCATTGCTTGTACTCAAGCAAAGCGTGCATCCCATATTCCCTTGAAACTCCTTCCTACTCCTGTGCTGAAGAGAAAGCAGAACTCGCATTTGGGTTTTGGCAGAAACTAAGTAATGATCATTTACTATGCTAATAGTATCAGAGAACATCTTAGACGTGACACAGGAGCCTAGAGCTTCATAAGAGCTTTGAGACCCATATCCTAACTGGTGATGACACTAGAGTCTGATACTCCTCTCTGTTGCCTTCTTTCAGAACAAAACTCACTTGAATAGTGAAATACGCAGCTTGCTGTTCTTCTACTCCGCTGCTGGAAGTGAGGTTTTTTAATTGAAGCTTCAGGATCATATGTTTCTAAACACTTACAGCTTTATGCTTCATAGTTGGAGCTAGATTCTTATAGTTGAAGATACCAAGACTGGCTCGGGTCCTCTCAGTAAATACCCAAAGGGGTATCTTTTTCTGTCCATGTCTGGCACGGCCAGACACTGCTGGCTGGGGACTGAGGAATCTCCTTGGCTTTATATTGAGTAATGAATTCCTCACGTAGCCTCTATAGCACAGCTTAAAATGCAGGTGAAACCAAAGAACTTAGGCCATCTCTTCAGGCCTCAGTATCCTTGGCTCTAATACAGTTATTTTCTTCTCTCTCGTTTTGCATCTTTTTTTGTTTGTTTTTGCCATTAGTGCCAGTTTCAAAGATACCCTCTAGCAGTAGCATCCATTGAGTCAGCTCTGCAGATTTCCTTGGATGCTTGTCAGGGTTTTTTTTTTTTAAATAAAAAAAAAAAAAAACAACCTTTTTTTTTTTTTTTAGTCAAATCTGCCTGTGCATTCACACTGGTGAATCCTGTGGTCATTGACAAGCAAAGACCTTTCTCTTCTAGCAAATTCAGCAAGTGTGTGTCTATGTGTGTGTAGAGTGGAATATAGAAAGTACTATTCCAGATCTGCACTAAAACCTGGTAAAACCAGCAAACAGATTGCTGAATTGGTACTATCAATACTGGGCTCTGTCCCTGCCTCTTCTCTCTCAGAATGATGCAGCTGGCCTTTAAAGCTCCAGGAATTCATCTCCTGCAAGGTTACCAGGCTTTCCTATAAGAAGGTACTCGCTGGATAAACTTGTCTCTGAATCAGGATTCTTCCTATTGCTTGGAAGAGTGGCAGTACTACTGTAGTGACAGCGATCATGAACATATATTCCTTTTACTTAGTGTTTTAGAAATTATTTTGGAACCAGCATTGATGCTGCTTCCAACAAAAGCCCAATTTAAGTGGAAGTTAGCAGTAGATGCCAACTCCTTGTTATGGTCATGGGTCTTTCGCTTGTCTGGTTCCAGTAGTAATTCTTACTAAGTGCCCTGGATACCCTTTTTTGGAGACACACACGGGTCACACAGTCTGTTTTCACATGCAGTTTGTCATTGTGGCAATGCCAATGTTGTCTTGTTCTCACCTTCTCTAAAGGAGGATTGATTTGCAACTTAAAGGTCACCAAGAAATACT